CGATTACTTCGACTAATTATATTCGGCCCATTCGTTCAGAAACCGGTTACGGTACTCGTATTTAAAGCGTTTACCATGGAGCGCGCGGCTGACTTATGTTCGACTGTTATAACCGGTGGAACGCTAATATTTTAAAACGACTCGTATAAACAGTCGATCCGACCTGTGCTCGCCGGGTACCGGAATAGAATATCTTCGAACTCCGATTGAAACTTTGTTCGCCCCAGGATCGGAAGAGACCTTTTATTGAAGTGGCTTCTCCTCACCGTTAAAGACGCGTCGAGTTTCGCGAACCATCATGGAGGATCGAAATTGAACGGGCAGATAGGGAGCGGAGGGGGACACCGAGGAAGAGAAATGGATACAGAGAGGGAGAGACAAAGATAAAGAGGAAGAGATAGACGCGGGAACAGTTTCCTATTTGTAGCGAACAGGAGACACTGACGAGAACCGGGGAGGCGTGCTAGACGCCGAATATGTCTGGCGTATGTGGAGAACCCCATGCACTCCCTCGGGGTTGTTATGGGAGCATTCCGGCTTCTGGTATGTAATATCAGAAATTCCTGTCTACCTGTGTGTCGCCTGTTGCCCGCTCACATTGTTCCAATTCGAACAGGCGGTGCGTCTCGCGAAACTGGTATTACTTCTGCCAGCCGTACACCCCGAGGAGGGTGAGCTTGAGCCGGTTCCCTCTGATTCGTCGAATTTTCGGAGGACGAAGCTATACGCGCGGCCACGATGGGAAGGTTAACTGCACGAAATGCCGTGAGCAGAAATTTTCGTTTCAAACGAACTTTCGCACAGTGGACGCGACTCTCTTTTCAATTTCTATCTACCGTGTATGACATTTTGTGTTCAGCGAATTGTTCTCTGATAATACTTCACGGAATCGCAGAGGCAGTTCTCATCGTACGACACTTTTTGGTAATTATTGGAATTTTCTTTCTTGCATTTCCGAATTCAATTTTTCCCAACGTTCACGTTGTCATCGTTAAATGCAGAAAGGAATTCTATGTTCCGAGAATACGTAGGTTTCCAGAGAACCGGAACAGCGTTACACTTCAAACGGACATCAGTTTCGCAGCACGGAAGGGTAGTTTTAGCCAGAGGCATCGGTTGTCTGTATTCGACATATTGTCAATTTGCCGCTGTTCGTCTCGCCTGTTTAAAATCGATCGCGTACAGAGGCACATATGCCTTTGCGTATTTCCGCCGCCCAAGTGCTTCGTTCCCGCTGTTGCCATTCATCTCCGCTAACATCGTTTAAAAAGAGAGAGAGAGAGAGAGAGAGAGAGAGAGAGAGAGACAGCACACACCACAGAAAAATAGCGAACAAAAAAAATGTATAGATACACCCGTTTGGACGTCAACCCCAAACGCGAAAATACTGTCTGTGGAGATCGATCGAAGTTATTCAAATTTTTCATTTCATCCGTCCGCACGGAATTTGATTAGGGACCATCCATCGGAAGACCGGCGATCATGATTAAATACATCATCATCTCTTATTATCGAGAATTCTTCTCCTGACAATTTGCATTTCGGATTTTCATCCTGAAAGTGCATCGAACACCGACCCCCTCCGATCGATTGAATCGTTGTATCACGCGACAATAATTAAATGGTAATCAACTATTCGCGGAAAGTGTACATAGCCGGTTGAAGGGCCGGTGATGAAAAAAAAAAAGAACTGTGCGCTGTACAGATATTTCAAATATAACGTAGCAATGTATTCGCAACCGGAGGATTCCTGTGGTACGCGCGCGAATTGTGCCGCCGCGCCGCACATTCCCCGGTTATGTCTGTTTCATTAAACCAGAGAATTCCGGTATATTTTTGGAAGCACAGAATTCGAACAAAACCGCTGGTTACACCGTTTTCCGAGGACCGTCACCCGTTCGGTCGCGATACGTACCACCGCGTGACGAACACTGAAATTTCTCACCGTTTCTGCTCGAGCGGTGATCGAATACTGTGAACCAGCGATATTAATTGTCCTTAATACAATTACCTACGTATTTGCATACACCGCTTGGTTGAACGTTTTCGTGTCCCCTTGTATCGCTATACATATTTCCGGAGGAGAGACGAAGAATTGAAGAAGAGATCGATGGACTTACTGTTTCCTACTTTGTACCGTTTCCAAAAATTGTAGACATTATAAGAGCGCATTTCAAATAACGATCAGGTCTAGGGCATGTTTCAATATTTACTTTACTTCCTGTACGTTTGATCCATCGAAGAAACTGCTTCGAAAGCACAAGGTCTCTAATATTAACTGAGCGTTGTAAATTATTTCCATATTAATGGAAGAATGTCGGACCAGCGAAGCGAATTCGCCGTGTTTATTAAATATCTTTGACATCCAGCTTTGCTTTCAAAGTAAAATAGCTCTTTGGCGTTTACGCGTGCCATTTCTGGAAGACATGCTCTCTAAGCATTAATTGCTACTTCGAAATTTCCATCGAAAATTGTTGTCCATTATTACAAAAATCCTTGATGGTTCCTTAGGTAATAACCAGCACGTATAACCGGCGATTAAACGTCAACGTTTTTCCAACAAAAATCTATTTCGATGGTTTCCTAGCGTATAACGTTTCAACATTGATTTCGAAATTATTTTTGAGTTGAGGTAGCATATCTCTAGGTAAGTACATTCGACGTTCCGCGAGTAAAAACGTCTCAACGGTATTTTTGAACGCTTCTCTTATTCTTTCAACCGCCGGCAAAAACAATGCAATTGAATATTTATGATAATAAATCGGGCACCACTAAGTGGAAATGAGATAAAGAGACGACGCAACTACAGTATAAAGTAAATTATTCTATGTATAATTTTGATTGACTTTTACATATTTCATACCCACAATAACTATTACGATAATATACTGCATTTTAAACATTATTTTTGTAACATTATGTAATTTATAAAAGAAAAGGTACGGTTAAAACCGTGTTAAAAAAATGTATTTTATAAAATAGAGATATTATACCTTCAGTCCTCCACATTGTTAACATATGCTTCACAGGAACACAGATTGCAAAGCGCTAAGTCACACCATACCAGGAAGATGCGTGACGATGCTAATCAATAACAAGTCAAATAGCTACGCCGTAGTACCTGACGCTATACTGTAATGATGCGACATACACGTATCTACCATAGGTGTTACCGAGGAGTCAGTCTAGATATTTAAGACAATTTTGCAATTTGTATCATGATTCCACGATACTAAGCGTTTCATTAAAATCGCCAATGGAGTAATAGAATAGGAACATACCCTTGAGAATCTATTAACCAATTTCGGTAGGTCAGTAAAAGCTCGAGAACGAGTTCGCATCGATAGCCGAGGAGAACGTGAACGTCCGTGGCTGACGTTCGAAGCGAGGACTCAACGCGACCGACTTCCGTCTTCGCTCGACGCCGACCACCTTATAAAAAGGGGTAGCTATTGAATTAAAAAGACGTAGCGAATAAAGCGGCCGGGCTAAGCGGCAACCGGCACCAGGGCGATGGAGGGAAAAGGGATGAAATACACTGGCTGGTTGCTCGGCTGCGAGGGTGGCTATCACGGCGGAAGGACGAGGACGGAGGAAACGTGGAAAAAAAGTTGGAGGAAACGAGAAGGAATCTTCTCTTCTCTCCTTCGCCCCGTCTGGGCCACGACGCCGTACCCCTGCAACCCTCTGGTATCCATCGGACGCGCCGTGCTCACCAGCCATAAAAATAAAATTTCAATAAATCTCCGGCAGGGGGTAAGCTAGTGGGGCATTCGGAGGGCGGGCTACTCGCTCATTGGAGCCGGGTCCGCGGCGGTTACCGCCTACCGCAAAACAGAGACAGGTAGACTACAGTAACCTGGATAGAGTTTACCTCGGATATAGACAGCCCCGCCAACCACCGCACGCTGCGTGCAAAACTCTGCCACTACCGCTTCTCGATTTCTTTTCGCCGATTTTTCTTCCGCTCTTTTTTCTTTTCTTCTTTTTCTTTCGCCCCCTCATCCCTCTGCCTCATCCCTCACCACGAGCAGAAGAGTGCGCGACTGTTTTCTTCCTTCTTTCTCGCCGCTCGTTGAATTCCGCTTTACCTTTCCTTATATTTCCTTTCAACCCGCTCTGCTCTCGCCAATCTGTCCGTACCGATACTCCAGTCGCGTAACCTTCCGTCTTTCGCAAAGTATTAACGAAAGTATGCCAATTTTATCGGCCCCACCAACCGAGCTCTATGAAAATAAGGGCTGCTTCAAGTATACACCACGGTTCTAATCGTGTCTCTCTTTCTACGGTTTAAATACGAACAAGCTACACAAAAGCTGTACACAGATAATAATAAAAGAAGAACTTTAATCCTATCGTGTTGCTCAATCAGCTGCCGATACTTCCGTATCATCGAAATCTGTTTCGCTCAATCATAAACTTCCCATAAACGTATTACCCGTTTTTCCCAGGAACTCGCTCACGTAACCACCCCAATTCATCAAAACGTCGGATTTCCCAGATCGTAACGTTTGAGAGATCCAAGAACCGTTCCTCCGGATTCCGTTTCCCCGTTCCGCTCGGCAGCTAGCTACGTTCCTGGTAGCGGCGGGAAGCTCGGTAGCGATTTAATATCACGCCCACAACTCGGGTACGGGAGCGAGAACGGTTCGGGGCCGGTGACGGGTTGAAAGGAGAGAAGAACAGGAGGGTGTTTCGCACAACAGAGAGAGGGATATCCGCGGTGATCCCTGGCGGTGGGGGAGCTCGGATATGGCAGCTAGGCAGTCCGCTGTTTGCCTTGCTGCGGCACGGGCCGTTCCTCGATTCCGAGCATCGTCGTGTTGTAACGGAGCTTATTCACGCGACTTCACGCACGCTAAAAAACCGCGGTTCTCATTATTCCTTTGTGGTTGCACAGTTAAAAACGCAAGATTTTCGAGGGTGAGCTGCGCGGTGACACGCGGATTTTTAGTAACCGCGTCCTATCTGTGTCAGGGGTTGCAATCCCCGGGAACGGCATGCTCAACAACATCTCTGCCGGCGGTTCCGTACACGGTATTTCCGGTAAGTATAGAGAATGTCACGATTCGATTGAGAACACCGACGTTCAAAACACGAACAATTTTTTTGTCCGGGATCATCGGACAGTTGTAAAATTCGAAGTTACTCCTGTGAAGTTTCCTGATTTGTACTGGCAGGTTTGTGTATGAAACGGAGTGCTCGTCCACGAACAAGTTCGGGAGGCTTATTGTTTGATCGTTTTATCGGTTCGTTTCTTGTGGCCCGGTTGTAGAAAGTGAAGGAGTATGCTTTTTGTGCTTTGCGAGTGCTGTATTTGGCTTAGTACCACTTTTAATGAGGAAAGTGTGTTATTTATAATTGGGGTACTTGAGTTAACTCTAATTTTATCATGACAATGGAGAGAAATAACTCTTTTTTTAGTAAAACTCGTTTGTTAAATACTAACGATGTTTGATAGTAGGAAAAAATGATTCCTTCTGTTATTAAAATGTATATCACAATTAGGAATTACTTGAAAAGTGCGAAAACAAAGTATTTTCTCTTATGAAAATAAGTAGTAAATGATGGGACGCGACGCGACGGTGCGTGGCTAACTGTACTCCAATCAATTCATGTTCTTAGCTATTAAAAAAATGTCAATCTTTTTTGCCCGGTTAATAAAATTTGACATTAAAAATAGTTTCATTTATCCCCGCGTCAAAATTGGATATCAATTACATAGAAATTAAAGAATAACTATGTCTTAAGTAATATGTGCAACACTAGAACCACCAGGCTATTAAAAATGATTGGTCTTGAATGAAGAAATGCACAAAATAAGTCGGTAGTATAATTCCAGAGTTAATTGTATTTGGCAAACTAATTTTAAAACAACATACTCATTTTTGCTAAAAAAATTATCCATGAAGAGGCGAACAATAATTAAACAGTTATCCTTATAAAGTATATTACATTCATTCATTTATTTTAATTCGATAAATTATGCACCATAAATGGTAATATACTCATTCCGCTACTAATTTTTGTTAAAAGGATTTAGGATCGTGCTCCGAGCCCGCACCGTCCGGTCCGTCGGAATGCGTTAAATTCGTCCATGTTCGCTAAACATTTTGTGCATATTAAAAAACAGTTTTAATTTAAATAACATATCTAATTCCTTCTTATGATAAGACCAATTAATAATAACCACTTTCCATTCAAATATAACTCAGGATTCAAGATTCATTAATTTTATACCGAATCTGTGGTTTATTGAACACAGCCGAGTGAAAATCGTTTGGAATATGTACTTCGTTCTGCATTGATTCACATGAAAGATTCTTCGTCTTTCGTTAATTTGAGAAGAGTAGATATTTAGAGCGATCTGTACTCTTCGGAGCCTCTGGGTCCGGGATAAGTGCCGTGATGATTGCACAGTCCTCTTCCCGAAAAGTTTAATTTCCTACCCCACTTCGTGGCCAGACCCTCAGAATACTTTTATTATAATAGAATGCGTCAAGAGGCACCGTGACTTCGAATCCCTTCAAGGTGCAACAAAGTTTGGTTCGAGCTCGTCAGAAATCTCCGCGCTTCTACCGGCAATCATCGGCCATAGATATCTCTACTTACAATGAATCCGTTTTTTGACAGACACAATATTACGAATATTGGCGATTTTTAAAAACTAGGCCGTACATTCCGTACACGTTAACCGCGACACGTGCAATCATCCTTAAAAAGGACTTCCCGTTAACAGGTACTTCTACGTTCTTTATGTAGAACTAACTGATTACCCGGCGTTGCCCGTACGTTTATTTGAATAGATATGAAAAATACATGAAATGTGAAAAACAGCCAAGTAGTCAATGAAAATAGTGTATATGTCATCTCAAAATTATTTTAGTAGATAGAGTAATATGTTAAATACTGTGTCGATCAACGATGACCGATTATGTTACATATGACTTAAATTGAAAGATAAACAATGTTTCAACGATAGTTCAACCTAAATCGAAAAACTGAAATTATTTGGTACCTGTTAAGAACTTCGAAAAAAGCATAAGAATAAAAATTGCAGAACATAAAAGGTTCTGAAACTTATTGCAATCGTTTTTTTATAGACAGATAAATTATTGATGAGAACAAAAATGGATAAAGTAATACTCATTCGTATTCATTTCAATTAATTTCTGTTGATGATCGAGGATTTACGTACGTGGCTCGTTCATAAAACGTCACGATTGCGCACGTTTCGCCCGTTGAGTATACGTGAAACGTAAAAGAAAATGATTGTCGAACAATAAAAAGAAAAGCCCGAAAAACCAATAACACGTGACCGAACGTCTGCTCGCTTCTCGTCCCGCCGAAGGAAACCGCTTCTCGAGTTTGATGACCTTAATTACCTCAACACTGATTACATTAGGCGGGAAGTTAAGCAACGATTTAGAGTTGAGACTGGCGGTAGAAATCGAGCAAAAGCGCTACATGCCGAGCCGATCGAACAACGATTAATCTCCGATTTTTGTCGCGTAGTCCTTTGCATCTTGAATTAACTTTTCACTGATCATATTTATTTAAAAGAAATCATTTATGGATACATTGACATAAGATTTGTTAACATTCTGATCCGCACTATAGGTTTAGTAGTTCATTTCTTTTTAGAAGTGCTTAGAATTATGTTATGTAATTTTACAGCGTTTGATTGATGATCGTTGAACACGGTATCGGTGTGGTTAGTTAGAGTTACTTCTTCTAAACGAGATTTTATATTCTGTTTTTATTTTTGCAACGATGATGCACACTACTGATATCCAAATGAATGTTTCTTTCCAAATTTAGATTGTGTGGCCTATCAGACATTATTTTCAAGCGACCAATCGCGAATTTTTATTTTTATTTTTATTTCTATGACTTCACTGACGTGTCAAATTACAGTTTGTTTTATAAATTATCAACTTAAGAAAGTTACGATTAAAATTGAAGGAAGACACAAAGTATTAAAGAACGTGACAAATGGAGCTTATTACCTACAAGGAAGAAAAATAATCCGACGTGGTGGAATCGTCTTAAGCACCATCCTTTTAATTCGATTAAACAATCCGATAATCCAAGCAGGTGGAATAGGATTAAACAATGATTCTTGGCGTTAATGAGAGGCGAACGAAGCAAACAAAAGGCGGTAGCACTAATCCTTAGCCAAGTGGTCCGTTCGTAATCATATCTTGTTTGCAAATTTTTATCTATCTCCGGCCGTGTAATCGAGCAAATTAAATTAGCCAGCTCTCGTATAAAGCTGTGATTTATTTATTTGTATCGCTGTTTTTGTTTTAATGCAAATTTGAAACGATCAAAATTCGCATTTATGCAGGACCCGCGTCAAAGGACGTGAGCGTTCGGTGACTTTCAGGATGCATATCGTTTCGTTCTTCACATGAAACACGCTTTTTTCCGTCGCTTCAAACCGTTCTTGGTCGAAGCGAATTAAATTACATGGATCATGGCGTGGGTCGCGTACGTGACAATTCAATTCGAGCATTTTTTTTTTTTAACGAAAATCACACGGAACAAAAATTGTTGAAAAATTCATAGAAGAATTCCTCTCCCTCTCTCTCTCTCAACTCCCATTTTTTTTTTTCATCTCTCTACATCCATTTTGGCAGAAACAGAAATCAAGATGGAAACATCAAAGGAACTTACCGAATTTTTTTAACGCACGAGGGTGCTCATAAACACCGGGTGTTGTCCAGTAAAATCGAAATAAAATCATCAAAAGCCATAAAAATAAAACGAAAGTAAAGGCCAGTCATAAAGTTCATTCATACGGAGTTTTCATTGAGTAAACGCGGTTCTTCGAGGCTGGTAGAAGCCTAGGACCCCGTCCGAGGCAACAACTCTCCTCTACCTGACGCCAAAAAGAACTCCTTTCATACTTTATGAACCTTTCAACTCCACTGATCACTTTCAATCTTTCTCTCATCCTCGTCCATTGTTCGTTGCTCATCGATTATCGTGCATTTTTTATGCAGTCTCATATTTTTAATTACGTTTCCTTATCTCTGCCCTTTGGTTTAGAAAATGTTTTCGTTATTTAATTCATAGTTTAATTCCAATTGCAAATTGAGCAAAACTACTTTTTAATGCTTAATGCCTATTTCTTCAATTCAAGACACAATTTTTTATCTTTCCTGTAAACATACAGTTTATACGTTCATATAATCATTCAAATCCTGAGACCATGTTTAAACTCGTAAACTAGTTTTACTTCTGTCTAGTTTATTATCGACTTCTCTACATAACTAATAATCTACGTACGTGAAGTACATCAATTCAACCTCATAACTCCTGCTATATTCATCTCAAGACAGGATGTGTATAATTTCTATTGTTAAAATCGAATAAATGCACTCCAACCACAACGACAACATTCTATATCAATCCGATAAAAACAATCGGATTTTAAGCCGGATATTAGCATAACTTAATAAAAAGCTGCTACGGTGGACGACGTTCGAAATATTTTCCAACCTATTCCCCGAATGCTTTCGGCTTCGTTCAAATTCCAGACTATTAAAGGTTATTATTATGCGTGTGCGGTTCGCATTAAGCATTTTGAATACGAGTGCCTAGAATGAATCACTATTAAACGATCGGATTATAAAATATCGATGCAAAACTGCCGACACCGGTCAGTGTGTTTATGAAACCAATAAAATTTCTTGTCTACTATATTATCGTTTCGTTGCATCGCGCGTGACTTCATAACGCACGGCTCAATGCTTAATTAACAACCCGCGAGATATGTATCGAGAGAAATGTAATGATTGCAACGATGATTCTAATCCAAACTGTAATCGCTTAATTTAGAAAATAACTAAACGCTGTAAATTTTCTATTAATATTGTACGAGGTAATTCATTAGAGGCGTGTATGTATTAAACTTTCTATTGCAAAGAACAATTTTTGTCCTGATAATTCTGTCACTGCTGCTTCATGAACAACTTTAGCTCAGCAAACCTATTGATCAGTCTTCATTCTTATCGATTCCGCAAGTTACTAAAAAAATCTAGCGATTATTCTCACTTCGATCATCGATTTACGCTAGTTACCATTGCAACGAACCCTCTACTTTTGGATTAGGGTTACTCTAATCGACCACCGAAAGACCCTACATCGTTGCAGTCATCTCATTGGAGAATTGATAGTTTAATATCCGAACCCTTAGATGACAGATTATTTGCATACATGATCACATCGTCGCGTGTGAAAGCGATTATTGATTGACTAAATTGAATGAAATTACTTTTCTTTATTCCAAATATTCCGTACTATTACGTAATCAACTTTGACAAAGCACAACGAGGTACGCGATGGCCGCCCGTATCGTGGGCTTGTTGGAGCGGGCGTTTTCAGCCGTTCTCCTCCCACGTATTCTAGAAATTTTCTACGACCACGTATAACCGCGGTTCGTTCGCGCGCGTGGACACGTGTTCGTGCGTGGAAGACACGGTAAGAGTCGGCGAGGCTAAATGTGTGTGTTTGCTCGCCTAGAAGCCGGAGGCCGGTGACGATTCTCGCACCTCTGTGCTAAGTGGCCCGTGTTCCCCTCACCACGAACTTAGCCAGCTTCTGCTCCTATACAAATTTAAACTGCATAGAGCAGAAAAGGGAGTGAGAGCAACGAGTAGAAGTAGGGATCCGTAGCGCAGCCGCGGGGTAACAGAAAAAAACTGTAATGGCCCGTTTTTTTCGCGTTTCGCGTTTGCAGGAGCGAAGGATGCACAGGACCTGAAGAGCGAATTGCTGGGAGTGAATTTGGGGACAGGGTTGTCTACCGGCGGTGGCCTTCGTACGCTTCACCAGGATTTAATCATGACCATGCCTGGTTCGGGTAAGCGTTTTACCGTGTTCGAATCTGCTTCTTCGCCATTTTTTCCTTTTTATTCGCTGGTTTTCTTTCACAATCGAGTCGTGATACCGTTTCTAGGTACAATAAATTCTAGATTTCGTTATTTCGTTTCTCGAATGTAGATGCGATTGCTTTTGGATGGGAAAACAAACTAGAAAGTCGTCTGTGCGTCTGCAGGATGAAAATGGAGAAATTGATTTTGAAGATGAAAGAGTTGAATGTCAAATGAATTTTGTTAAATTCGATAACTTGCACCTTTTTTAGTTACATCGTTTACATCGCGATGAATATGTATACGCGTATCATGAAACGAGGATATCAGAAATTTGATTTTAATTCTTCAGGAAACGCGACGGGAATCGGACAAGGTGATGACAAGCCTGTGAAACAGAAACGGCACAGGACGAGATTCACTCCAGCTCAGCTAAACGAGTTGGAGAGGTGTTTCAACAGAACGCACTATCCGGATATTTTCCTCAGGGAGGAAATAGCTGTGAAAATCGGCCTCACGGAAAGTCGAGTTCAGGTAAGTGTTGAAGACGCTCCCTTTATTCATAATAGTCGACCAAACGATAAAGCGGACGAAATAACTATTCGGATGAATTTCCTGAAGGAAATAATTAACTGATTAATTACGTTAACGTTATCCGTTTAATATATATAAAAAATAGTGGCGATTTGGGCATTGTTTTCAATTGTACAAAATATTATATGTCTGAACCTGTTGTGTCACCGTTTAGACAGCAAGAGGTAGTTAATAGGCATAACTAGGTGGTACCGCGAATGTCTCGAAATCAATTCCGTCGGCCTACCATGGCTTTTCGGATTAAACTGAAACTTGGAGTAGCGTTAAGCCTTCACCCTACGGGGTCTCGAATTTTGGTGGACTCCGGTTTGCCGTATGGCAACCGCAAAACTTTCCGTGAACTTTCTCCACCTCCTCCGTAAAGTACGCCGAATTCAGACATCACAGAGAGTGACCGGAAGATTTTGTCTAAGACGCGATCATAATGAAATTTCTATTTACTATCTGCAGGTTACTTATTAATTTTCCACGAGAACGATTAGCATATTGTGTCTCGTCATTTATTCATAAATAGATTCATATTCGCAGCTGGGTAGTTAAATATTAAGAGACGATAATTAACCACAACAATAAAGTTTCGGAAATAACTAACAAGTCAGTCAAGTAAAAATGTAGAATCGCGGCGGGAAAACGGAAATTAATAAACCGGTCCTCGGGTCTTGACCAACTGTTGGTGATTAGTACTTTCTACAGGTTAGACTCCTTTCCCTTTCCGGTCATCAGTCGCGTGAAGCTTTTTTAAGTCTCCGGGGCACGTCGAGAAAAACGAAGCTAATAGAAATTCATGAAAATTTTATTCGCAACTTGGAAGCGTCAGTCAAGCCTGGCGTTGCGCTGCATATCAAGCAGTTTCGTCCGTCTCCTTTTCCCACGTCGACACACACGTGGACGGGCCGTGTGTGCGCGTGTCGGAACCCGGACATTTTTCACATGCACACGGAACAATTATGAGAGGATCCGTTCTGGTTGTACGTTAAACCCGTGACATCGCGATCGACGTGCTCTAAAAATACTTTAACCGAAGTTTAAGTTCGGTCACTTAAATCCGTAGGCGGATATTATCCTCTTTATACTTCTACCTCATCGTTCTTACTTCAACAATTTGTCTGTACGGTTCGTCGTTCTTCCACTCAAGACGCGTTACGGTGATTTCAACCGTAAACTCCGTTGTCAAGCATAATCATTAAAGACCGAAGGAAATCATTAAACGAACGAATCGCGGCAGGGGTAGGTAGTCGATGCGAACGAGAGCTCGTTGTGCTCCCTTCGAGACGCAAGTAGCTACGCTTTCGAAAGGTATCGTGGACGAGCGAAAAAAAGGGAGGGAAGGAGATAGGGATAAAGAGAGATCCGTCGGTTGGTGCTCGGGGTGGCTGGTTGCCTAATTGAAAGAGGTTTTCCGTGGGCGAGGGTAGACATCAGAGCGAACGAAGCGTTTCCAAGGAAACCCGGCGGCGGGCTCTTGTACAGAGAGGGCCTGAGGCACCAATGGGGCTGCCAGGGAAAGGCGCCGGCGCCCAGCGTCGCTTTACTATCGAGCGTTGCTATCAAAGATTTCTTCACTCGCCATGGCGGACCCGCCGTCGCTTCAATGTTTTCACGAGGGCTGGGTCATCCCAGTGAACGTGAGTACCTGTATACACACGTGGCTCGTCTGCGTCTTCTGCACCAAAGTGTATGTACAGTGTACAGCATCCGGGAACCGGACGATCGCCTGTTATTGGATCCGGGAAATTTTATTTCCCGTCATGAAATTGAAATAGCACAGTCGACAGACAATTCTTAAAACGGTTATCAGGCAATGATTATAGTTCATTCTTAAGATACTAATTTGAAATGTCAGAATAAATATATTTCCAATATGATTGAAACTAAATCCAATCAAAAGGAAGCAGTATTTCGCAATGGAATGATCAGAATATGAAGGAATGTTATATTCGTCAGGATGATCGAAAAAAAGGGAAAAATTGCACCGAGTTGAGCTATACGGGTGAAAATTAAGAGACGCGCACTATTAAATTACTTTTTCAACTGGAACTAGATAATTGCCGATACGAAGAATCGCTGAAAAAATGCCTGCGCTTGGAAAGTTTGCAGAATTTTCCGCACGAGCAATCGGGATTTTCTAATCGAATGAAACAATCTCGGCGAAAATGTAACTGCAACGCCGCACCTCGGAATTAATCAGACGAAACGGCGTGGTGCTGTTTGCAGAAATTAACTAACGTTTAATACGTTGATAACGATAGTAGGGAAAGAGAGCCACTCGAAAGCGTTTTTAATTAACTATCAACGAAATACTTGAAATAGTGTAATAAAATATTACGATTTATCGATCTGTTGTAATTTATTACCACTCGAAAAGAGACTGTAATTGGCTGTGCGTCTCTAATTGCTGTTAATTAGCAACTATTATGTCGCTGGGATGATAACGCATTCGTCGAAACTGTTTTACGATCAACGATTATCTCGATGCGGTGGTGTCGGCGTAGGATACATATGCAATTCCGAATCATGCGAGACGTTTAATTACACTTTAACGTAATAACGTTTTCAATTGCATTTGTACAGCACGGCCAGACGGGTCTCCGTTCTTGAGATTCGTAAGTGGCGACGCACAATTTTTATCGCGATAATCAGAGAAATGAACTCGGGACCATATGAAAATACCTCTCAATAAGCCGAAATAAAATAATCAAAAGCTGGTGATTTTATTGTTGAAAAATTCACGCGTCTCCCGGCTGACCTTTCACTTCGTTTAATCAGTAGTAATGGATATAATTGGATATAATGGATATAATGAATTTTACATTAGACCGACTTTTATTATTTCGAATAAAATATAAATACGCTTTATTTATCTTTTCTTTCATTCACTTCGTTGCCTTTTGTCATGTTTATACATTGTTTGGTTCACTTTCTCTTCCACGGCAACGTGTGCACGACAGCTGAAGCAAAAGTCAAATTGCAAAGTAGAAAATAATTGATTTTATTTGTTTAAATTGTCACATCTCGAAACGTAATAGCTTATCTATTATGGTCCCATTGTTTTGTTATCATTTGAAATAGCAGAAAGGTGTCAGACTTTTAAACGCGAGTGAAAAAAGGACGGCTCATCAACTAAGTCGAACGATATCAGACAATTATTCGTCATAAAATGCCAATTCGATGGCCATAAATAATTTGGCGGGTTGGTAAAAAAAGAGATCTGTCGGGTTTTTTTCATCCCTTCTCGAAGCCCTGTACAGCAACCAGGGGTCAATGACTTCGGTGCGCGCGCGCGAGCGCATCTGCGCTGGCATTCCCATTCGGTTCATTCGATTTCGGAAAGGTATACAAAAACGCGGCGTTCCTTACCGTCAATCATTTCTAGAATATTAATTAACCGCTCTCGATGGTTTCAAATAAAGCTCAATCATCCGCCGGCACGGCGACTAAGCGAGTCCATTGCGACGCAACAAAACGCGATCGTGAACTCGCGAGCGCGTGCGCAAATACGTGGGGCAACGTTCAGACAAAAAGCTTTTTTCAGCCGGACATTTATCGCGATGCACGACAGTTTATTTTCGGGAACACGTATTGGCGCTTTACGGTTTTAATTACGCGTATTTTAATCCGCCCAGGAGACATTTTCTGTTTCGAAAGCGTCGGCGGCGGCGGCGGTGGCGGCGGTGGCTGCGAAACGAGCTTTATTAGACCTGCACACAGCCGATTTAAATTTAATCATAATGAAGAGGCGATTAAAATTGCAATCGTCCACGGAATAGAACCCATAGCGGCGAGCAGTTAACGTCTGCTAACAGGCATTTAACTTAACTGCCCCAGGTAACTGCTCGTTTCTAGGCTGAAGGGTCCTTTCGATTACTACTGCGCGAAAATTTTATGGGACACGACCGTCCCATCTCGTCGATAACCGCCATCCGAACGGAAGCTTCGCGACGGGAAAATAGAAAGAAGAAAAAAAAAAAGGAAACTCGAGGATGAAATGTCGGCGAACTGCCCATCGCACTGACCGTTTTTGGTTGCCCGTTATCCTTCATCTTCCCGAAACATGGATTAATGCTACTAATGAAAAGGAAGCGGCGCTTGGGTTTATGGACCTGGACTATGGTTTTACGATTCTATTCCATTCCATAATAACGTTGTGCATACAAACACAAATGTAGTTTTTAAAGGGTTGATTCTTTTGAATGATTCTTCCGGTAGGATAAAGATGACTACTACTTAGCATTTTTGAACTCTTCAAGAGTTTCCGATTGTCCATTATGTTACTTGATAAGATAAAGATAATAGTAATAGCTGCGACAGTTAAGTTAATAATTGACCGTTTCTTTAGTTAACCAAAATATGTTTCATATGAATTTTCTAATTATTAAAACTCATTGAATTAACTTTGTAATTTAATATATCACAAATTACTTTTGTAAAGCTTTTTAATAGAATCTGTAAATAATGTTAAGTATTATTTTAGATGATAGGTTTCAGTAATTCCCCGTATTTTATTTCTACGCGATGAAATCATTACTATATTATTATTACTATTAAATTTTGTCGAGCATCCTTGCTTTGGTTCACCTTGGGAAAAGATCGATCTTTGAATCCGTGTTTCCTACACTCGAGCTTCAACTGCTAAAAGTCACATATGCCGTTTTGGGAGATGGTCCGCGGTGGCGAATGTTGGATACTGCTTTCAAAGTATCCCACGGGAGTTGGACGAATGGCGGTGTCATTCGGCCATCCTCTGGGACAAACAAGTGACTGCACCGAGGGTAAATGTAGTTCGTTATTGTCTTGTCCTGAGAAATGGGAAATGGTTTCAATGTACGCTGGCCGAGAACTGAAAAGGTCGCCACGCTTGAGATATTGAACTTCGTTCGGCTTCTAACAATAAGTGCAGAACTTTCGTTCGATTTCAACAATAATCGTAGTAAATTGTAATG